TCTCTACATCACCATCAGTTTTGATAATGTCAAGCTTGCATGGCCGGGATTACCGTATGTCCGATCCCTGCATTTATGCTGAATTTGCATCGGCAGATATCTTAAATGTATCAAATTCATATCCACTTTGTAAGAGTACGGATCCCGATTTGAAAATTGTGCCATTTGAGCGCAAAATAAATGGAATTCCGACACTTGAACCACGCATCAAACCTTTTTGTAACAGCAAAAATTCAATCAAATCAACACAGTACGGATAATGAATGAATGAATGACTTGATGTGTCGATATTTAAATGCTCACATTACTATGATAATATTTTTTTTTTTCTTGAATGACAGGCTGTCATTCCATTATGAGGTTGCCAGGGGAACTCAAATCAATTTGCAACAAGCTGTTTGGTATGTCGATCCACTTAGTCCCTCATATTGCTTCTCTCAGTGGAGTGTCAGCTGTGTTTATAATGAAACTGAAAAGTGAGGTGTGGGCTTCCCGCAGAGGCTTTTGTGGCATTCCTGGTGTCAGATCTGTGCTGTGGAGCAGCCAGAAGCTCGGCAGGCCAGCCAGCAAGGTGTTTCCTAGCAGGAAAACAAAAAACTAAAAAAAATAAAATAAAAAAAAAACGGGCCTCTGTGCTTCCGTCACATCAAAATACTGTCAATCGTGTCATCGCGTGCATACGCACAGTAGGTTTTGCATAATGCCGTGAAATGTCAGCTGGTTAGCCGTGACACACCCTCTTTCCAACTGGCCTTAAGACGACGCAATTCATTTGCGGTATTCACATATCTTGTGGTAAAAGCTGTCAACGGGGCCTCGGAACAATTTGCTGTACATCTTGCCAGCACGTAGCGGCTGCTAACTGAAAAAGCTGTTTGTGTTGTGGTAACAGCCAGAAACTTTTTTTCACTGTGAGACATTTTAGCTACCAATTTGGGGTTTTTGAGGCATAAGAAACTTTTTTTTTTAAGACTTCATCTTACGCTGGAGGCATGTCACTGTTTCTAATTTGAGTTGTGTTTTGAAAAAAACATTAGCTCAGTCGGAATAATTATAGTTATTTTCATTTGGCCTTGCTTTACCGTTTGATTCGTCATGATTCAAATGGAAGATGAACTCTGGCGTTTTGTAAGGACATGTCAAATATACGACGAACAATTGTAAAAATAACGACTACTACCAGGACTATTTCTATCCCGACTTAAGCGGTTGTATTATCTTCCAAGTGATCGTCGCTATAACATCATGCAGTCGATGCAAATTTAAATAGCAATTTAAACGGAAACTAAACGGTTGTTGAGGGCCACCTCAATTATATTAATTATATTCATATGAAAAAGTTGTATTTTTTTAAAATAAATCGCTGCTTGTGTTGTTGTTTCACGTTTTATCATTCAGAAATCAAAATGATACACAAAATTACAAGCAGAATTACATGTATACTTGTTAAAAATGGCGACATTGTGCATCAATGTGTCGACATTTTTTTAAAATTAAGCACCGACTGCTTACTGACTTACATATTTGACACCGTTCGAGAACAAACTGAATGGCGATCGGATGCCACAAACGTAGACACAAACAAAATCCGCTCAAAAAATATTTATTCAATAACACAAGCGCGCCGACTAAGTATAAACAGAAATCGCTGGTCAAAAAGAAATACATTAACAAAAAGCGCTTGCAAAGGCAAACAAATAGAAAATCCGAGATTATAAACAAAATGACAAGAGTCCAGTTTCACGAAAACAAAAACATGAGCAAGATCAAAGACAAAATAACAAATACTTACAAGGCAAGAGACTTTTGAGCAAAAATGACAACACTTGAGCAAGAGCAGCAACAAGGTCAATAATCCGACAAAGACACGGATTCTTGGAAGTCCTTGAATACTCGGCTAACTTGATGACCAAATTGGCAGCAGGTGTGCACGCTGGGGGGGAAGACCCTCCTCTGCCACCTGCTGGAGACACACAAGAACAGGATCATGACAATATTAGGCCAAATCAGGGCATTTTCAACATTCTCTTCACCATGCAGGAAATGAGAATGTAGCTCACATGAGGACCATTGTTGAGTGATGTGTCATTGCTCGCATTTTTGAAAAATAGTAAAGTCACACAGCTGAGATGAGTTGAGAATGAGTCAATTTCAATGGTTGGCCTAGTTGCTCTGAATCACAACTGTGAACTATACATAGACTTTTTGGATAGTCATGTGTCCATCTTGTGAGAACAGTTTTGGGTCCTTTTACGGTTCCAGAAAGCCTGCCACAAAACGCTAAGCAAGGGCCAAAGGGAATTTCTCCATCGTGAGACAAATAAAGGTTTTCTTATCTTATTTAAAAAAGCATGGCTGGATGAGCTGGTTTGGCAGATCTTGAGAACGCGATCCTCCACCCTGTCAAAAACATTTGGGATTAACCAGATAGTTGACCCTCTTGTGCAACATCAGTGACCTCCCAACAGCCACACTCCATAATTTGGGTTTGGATGAAATGGATGGTGCAACCAGTGATATACTGGGACCAAAATTCAACCCGGGTTTTATTCGGAGAGGGAGGATGGACGACGGTGGACGGCGGCCATCATGCGTGGGGGACGGGGGGAGAACCCGGCCGGCGTTTGGTTCAACCGGCCTTGAAATATAACGCCCGTTCGGGAATCTCCTGAAATTCTTGATGGCTGCCACGCCCCCGGGTGCAACTGCTGCTGAAATAGATGTCACGGCAAGGAGATTGTCAGCAATCAATGCAGGCGGCGTACAGTATATGCAGTGTTTCGGGTTTTGACACAATTTATGCGCTTCAATAATTCTCATCTTCTAAATCGGGGAGATGGATGATAACAAAACAGTCATTGTCAGCTGTAAGGACTGGCCTACACATGTGTGCGTGCCCCCGCCCCCTCACCCATGTCCCCCCCACACACACACACACACACGCATTCGTACAGAGGACCTAAGTAGACAATGCCGGCAGTTAGTCTGAGCATATGTGTGCATACACTGCACAGCGTCAATGTCTGAGAGTGTGTGTGTGTGAGAATGTGCATCCTCCTCCTTCAGTGTCGCAACAGCCTCCCACATTTCCCCAACGTATCACAGTTTCTCCAAATAAAGATTGTGTCCGAAAGAATAGCCTTGTTGTTCTTTCGCCTTCCAAGCACTTCATTCTCCTTCTCTCTTTTCCTCCTGCATTCACTTCATTCTCCATCCTGTCAAATCTTGGATACGTTTGTCTGTCTAAGGTTAGGCAGTTTAGTGGCTCAGTCTCTGTGTGAGAAATTTCTCCCCGGCTGTATTATTCACGAGGTCTCAACGCCTGCTGAGCGATCCCAAAGGAGTTGGGAACTCTGTGCTCCAAAGAGTGGTTACAGTACATTCGCTACCAAAAGGCCTGCTCACATCAATGACGATGATGGAGTTACGACTCCCTTGAGAGACCGTGTGGGAGTTTGTGTCAGAGTGTAGCCTTGTTTTGTATCGGTAATGAGCAAACTTGGATTTTAAGATGACGCATGCATTTTTTTTTTTTTCCCGCATGCCGGTTCATGTTATTTGAAAAGTAAAGCCCCTGAAATACACTGAAGCCAATGGAATTCACAATGCACGGTGAAGCAATGCTCATGAAGTCAGCCATTTTTTTTTTTTTTTTTTTACAAAACTGTCCTACAGTGAACATAGGACTCAAAGTTCTTTCATGCAGATGAGGCCGGTGCAGCGGCAGAAACAATTTTGTTTAGGGTTCAGTAACATACACTATTGAACTAATGCATTGAGATTCAGATGTTTTAGGGAGCAACGAAACCCAAAATATAAACACTTGATGATGTTATATCATAAATGTGCACATCTTTATCATACCTGTCAACTTTTCAGAGCGCCAACCTGTATAAACTACCAAAAAAATCCTTATAAAGAGCAAAAAAAATCCTTATAACATACCAAAGCATTTTATATGTCAAAATAACGGCAGAAAAAAACCCACGAAATATGAATGATATATTTG